ACAGACACAGACACAGACACAGACAGACACACACACAGCTTAATGAATCTACATACTGAACATCTGGAAGATGATGTTCACAATTAAACATGAATTATATTTAAAAAAAGAGTGATGAGGAAAACAGCTCTTACATACAAGTACACAGTGCAGATATCAGATGGTAATGCCATGATACTTTGACATTACCATGGTACTGGCTGATTAGTACCATGGTACTTGTTGGCACTCAGTGAAGAAACAGAGAGCAAAAGAGCAACTCACAACTCCACTCTGAGACTTGGTCTTCAGGTCCAACTTAACAGCTCCAAAGCCTGAGAAAACAGAGAAAAATGTTGTCATAAATGTTGAATTAACACGATAACATTCATTTTATTGATCTGAATCATTTTAAAATCAGACACTGCGATCAAGAGCAATGTACAAAAGCGCTTTAGTGTTTCTATATGAAACTGCCACATTGATAGATGCAAATACGTGGCATGGTCAGTATCATGAATTATAATATTAGTCAGATATATATGGATTTATATTGGATAAGCACAGCTAACATTAGTTCCTTTCCACAAAACAAGGAAAGGTTTTTGTTTGTCTTTTCTGTCTTGACTTAAAATATATATAATAATTACTAATACATATAATAATATAATTCATATGTTTATGTAATGATAATAATAATGATACATTTCATGATATAATATCTAATATATATATATATATATATATATATATATATATATATATAATATACAGCTGTGTGGAGCCGGTATTTTAATATTAATTTAACACTATTATAGTTTTATAGCTTACTATATATTTTATATATATTTTAAATTCTTTTGTTTTAATTTTAGTTATTAATTTTTAATTTGATAAAGTGTGTTTTGTCATTTTTATTATTTTTTTAATATGTCTATATAGTTTTTATTAATTTTTCATTTTAGTTACTTTAGTAAGTCAATTAAATTGAGAAATGTTGCCTTGGCAACTAGCTGAAATAAAATGAGTAATATTAATAAATAAAAATAAATTTATTTAAGTTAAAGTTGTTTTAGTTTTATTTTATTGTTTTAGATGACTATAATAACCCTACAGATGCATCACACCAGGATGGGATCTGTCATATAATGACTGATTTTGAACAATGCATTTAACTTTAAGCAGCATATACAGTCAGATCTATAAGCTCAAATGCATATACATCAGTATTTGACCTAATTCTACAAACTGCAGTATCAAGACTGTCTTAATCACTCCCAGATTATCTGAATGTGTGTGAATGTCCATGTTTCCAGCGAGCGTTATGACTCCCATGAGGCTCTGGGAAGGAAAACGAAGGCATTTTTCTTCTAGAACTCTTTCCTGTCATTTATCCTTTGACCTGAACCCATAATCCATCTGTCAGAAGGTCAGTATTGATTCTCTTGTGTCAGTATCACGTTACTGAAATCTGACTGAAATGACACTGAACAGTTCATGTTTGTGACACATTTAACAGTTATGTGGCTCTGTAAAGTCACTCACCATATCCTTTGCTGAAGATATCTTTGGCAGATTTGCCGAGGTCAGCGTACGCAGGGGGGGCGGCCATGTTTGCTGGACAAAAAAGAGACAAGGAGACACTTTAGAGACGCAGAGTCGCTTGAAGCTCATCGGTCGTGTGACATTGTGCACGTAAAGTTGCGCAACATGTTTACAACAGTCTACAAATACCAGCAGCGCACGCCTCCTGACAGACCAGTGTCCTACAGACGGCTGGAAGAACAGCTGACAGCTAAAGGCAGCAAGCTACAGGAGCTGTGCAGCGTTTGCTCTGATCATCTGCAGCGCTGCAGCCAGAAGCATGATAACAGCTCATTATTACACACACTCACACTGCAGCGTAACAACTATCAGCTACAGCAGAGTCTGTTGCTATCACACACACACAGGGCTCTTTAAAGGAAAGTTCTGGGTTCAGTACTAGTTCTACAGTATATTGTTCATTACCACAGACCATCAGATTTATAGTGATGCATAAGGACTGAAGTGCATAGTGCTCGTGTACCAGAGGGTTTAAAGCCAAACTGCACAGCTTGTGTTATGTTCATTTTTTTGTGTTTTATTTGAGCTGAAAAATGACATAATTATCCTGAAATTAAAGGATTGAATGTTTCGTTATGCATTACAGATGTAATTCTTGTGAGGATGTGGTTCTGGGGTCCATGTGTAACATGAAAATTACCACGTTTAATCTGCCTATCTATCTATCTATCTGTCTATCTATTAATCTGTCTATTGATCTGTCTGTCCATCTATCTATTAGGGATGTAACGATTCACTCAACTCACGGTTCGATTTGATTCACAGTTTTTATTTTTTTACAAAATGAGATTTAAGACAAATTATAAATTAAATGTGTCTAATGTGTTTATTATTGCTTGGACAAAATGCTGCACATTTCTTTGTTAAATTGAAATATAACACTATAATAATATACTGATATAGCACTTGCATATTATTGCTCTTTTGTTTTGATTGCTTCTATTGTCCTCATTTGTTAGTCGCTTTGGATAAAAGTGTCTGCTAAATGACAAAATTTAAATGTAATGTAAATTTAAATAACAAAACTAAATTGAAATTTTAAAACAAGAACCAAATCAAATACATAAGTAACAGAAATAAAATAAATCTCTTCATATAAACAAACTAAGGCTTTGTTTGTGCTCTTTCCATTTAAAATGAGAGGCAACCACTACATTTTAATCACGATCCAAACAAAGATGCTGCATACATACAGTTTTTAATCTAAATTAGATTGTATAATTTCGACTTTGACTTCAGTTTTGTGAAACTATACATAAAAAAATATCTGCATGAAACAGAAACAGCAGACGAGCTGATGAGACGCAGATTCACTCTCTGCCAGCAGGTGGCGCTTAAAGCGTTTCCTTGGTTTCCGCTGTAAACAAAGCAGTGCTGCACTTTAATATGCATTATACAGAGGCAAGATGAAAAGAAAAAATACCATCTAAACTTTTCTAACTAATTCATATAAACTCCTGCCTCTAAATTAATCGCGATTTGTTAGCATCTCAACCGATTTGAATCGTCACATATTTGAATTGGCTCGCGGTTAATTGTTACATCCCTACTATCTATCTATCTATCTATCTATCTATCGATCTGTCTGTCTATCTATCTATCTATCGATCTGTCTATCTATCTATCGATCTGTCTGCCTATCTATCTATCTTAGGGTTGGGCGATGTCTACAGTGAAACATTGCGATGGACGATGGCATCGTCTATCGGCCCAACCCTAATCTATCCATCTATCGATCTATCGATCTATCGATCTATCTATCAACCGATCATCTATCTATCTATCTATCTATCTA